GGAGGAGCATAGGTGGCACACCAGTATTCTTTATCGAACTGTATCCTGGACAATCCTTTTCAGTTGTTCCCATTTGCTATTCATTCTTTTGATATCTGCTTTCGATTTCCAACTCATTGTGTTCTTCGATATTCCGCTTTTCCGTTTCCATTCAGGATTCCAGGTTGGCACTTGCCTCGTGATTTACTTTCACGATTTCATCAATGTATGTTCGACCCACATCCAGAGTATTTTCTTAGTTTCGTCTTCGTCTAGAAGTTGGCTTGTCTTCTTCCACAGTAGGTTGTTGTATATTTTTGTGACAATTGTTTATAAATACTTGTACTTCGATTATGGTTGTGGTAGTTCTGTGAGTTTCAGCTGCATACAGTATCATAAACTTGACGTTCGTGTTGAAGATTGTGACTTTGATATTGGTTAACATTTGTTTTGACTTCAAATTTCTCTACTACTGTAGGAAAGCATTACTTTCTTTGCCATTCCTTGCTTTTATGTCTGCATCGAACCCTTCTTGTTGATCGATGACGCTGTTCAGGTACGTGAAGGATCCCACTTCTTCCAGAGTTTCTCCAATAAGTATGACTGGGTTGGTGTTCTCCGTGTTGTATTGAAGGATCTTGCTTTTTCCTTTGTATATGTTGAGGCCTACTGATGTACAGGCTGCTGCTACACTAGTTATCTTTATCTGCATTTGTTTGTGTGTATGGGTTAGAAGGACTAGGTCATCTGAGAGGTCCAAATCGTCTAGTTGCATCCAAGCTCTCCATTGTATTCCGTGCTTTCCCTCAGATGTGGTGGTCTCCACAATCCAGTTGATCACCAGAATAAAGAAAAATGGTGAAAGTAAGCGGCTTTGTTTTACACCGGTCTTCACATGGAATGCATCTTTGAGCTGTCCTCTATGCATTACTTTGCACTGTTATGCATCGTAAGAATACCATATACTATTGACGATCATCTCAGGTACACCATGATGTCGAAGAAGCTTCCATAATGGTCTTTTATCCACTCTATCATAGTCAGCGAAGATTATGTATAGTGACGAATTCCATTCGATTGATTACTCAACAATAATCCTCGACGTCACTATTTGGTCTGTGCACGACCGGTCTTTACAAAATCCAGCCTGTTGATCTCGAAGTTGGGCATCTTATCAATGCTTAATCTGGTTCAACAATACTATAGAAAACCTTTCGTGATGCCCCTATAATTCCCACACTTATTGAAATCACCTTTCTTTGGTATCTTGTTGAGGTGTCCTTCTTTCCGTCCCAAATCTTCCTGAATAGATCATGACGCATCTTTGTAGTTACCTCTATATCCGCCTTCAGTGTTTCAGCTTGTTGTTGTTTGGTCCTGCTGCTTTCTCACTCTCCATGTGTCTGAAGGCCATGCTGATTTCTTCGATCGTTAGTGGAGGGACATCTATTAGGATGTCACTAGTTGCTGCATTACAATGGCACAAAGCGATAAAATTATCAAAACAAAGAACAAAGTAGAACTAACAGTAATAATGTAGAGTAAATGGTTAAATAAAGAATAGTGCACAGACTAAAAAGTACAACATAATTTTGAAACTCAGGATCTAAAATAGAGTCGGAATGCATTTGTATCACTGCAACCAATTTTGAGATATAATGATAATACACAATGTCTCCAACCACTGGTCACGTTTACCGAGCGGAGCACAACCAGGTAGTCTGGACACATCAGTGTAACTCAGATCCAGTTATTGACTCCGTGAACTAATGATGCTTTTTAGCTTATGCGCTCTTAGCTTTCTTCCAATCTACTTTGACACCAGCCAACATTGTATCTCTAGATAGGAGGGTGGTTGAATGTATTTTACACATGTCCAATACCACCTCAGGGGGATGAAGAATCACTAGTTCATCAATCAATTTTTTGTTTTTATGAAGTACCCTGTATCTATAACTCAATATTGCTCGTTCGGTGGTCCGAACCGATGAATATCATCTATTTTCAAAGGCCACTTTTCATAACTATAATGTAGGAAAGTGAGTTGTTAAGCAGCATATTCGTTTTTTTTTTGGTTGGTCGATGGTTACATTTTCTACACCTCAAGGGACTGAAGGTGATACAAAAGTAAAACAAATTTTATGAATCAGTGACGAGATTTTACCTGACGCTCATCGTATCTGATGAGACTTTCAAGATAAGTAACGTAGCTGACATATTCAACTACTCTACTTTTTATCACTAGTTAAGGGTTTGACTCAGATATGTCTTAAAGTAAAAATTTTCATTTAACTAGAGTTGAGCTGAAGAAATATATCTTAAATTTGCTTTCATTAATGCTTAAGAGAAACAGAAAAGTTCACATTTTGTCAGTATATTTAACCAACAGAACGTATTCATTTGCATGAAGCGTATATTTTTATTTCAATGTAGTTTTGTTCTCTGAGCTTGATGATTTGTTCGTAGAGCTTTCATGGTTCTTCTGGGAGTTTATGCTGATGCTGTTTTTCAGAAGAACAATGAAAGCTACAAGACAAAATCAATCTACCTCAGAGAACAAAGCTCCGTCAAAATCATCCATCTGAGCTATATATCTTCTCCATTGTCTCATGAGTATATATCTGTTAATCAGCTACAACGTAGGACCAGGCACATATATGCATCGGTCCAAGTTGCCATACCTCATTAACACAACAAGATGAACACTGGATTCATAAAAGTAGTTAATTCAGTGGTGGTAATATATAAAAAAAAGATTGCATATAAGGATGTAGTACCGGAACAGAGAATTAGTTCGTAGAAAGAAAGATAAAAAGTAATTTTAACCTCACATTTTAAGGGAAGATAAAGAGTGTATACACCGACATCATTGTGATCGATTCTGAGTCATGTCATCTAGAGTCTCCAACCATTGGTTACAATAGTCACACAGACCCCAACCAAGTAGTTTGGATTTACCAACATGGCTAAGACTAGAAATTAGCGATTTCAAGCACTGATACCACGTTTTGATTTGGGTTAATTAGAATAGTATTATATCACATCTACGGTTTTATTTCATTGTTATGTCTCATTCATTCATAACAAGAATAATCTAATAATTAAACATACGGTCTTGTTAAGATTCTGTTATTAAGAGGAACATTTATTTAATGATTACATATTCAGTGAAATTCAAAACACACCTTTCGTCCTATTTATGACTAGTCTGCATCTAAGAGTTGAGATTCACCTTGGGATGTATATATGCCAATAAGAGACTGATCAATCTCAGTTCTAAACATCAATAGAAAGATTCAACCAAACAATACAATATGAATAAAACCTTCACTCTCCAACTGAACTCAGTAGCTCAGTGGATGCTGTGAAGGAGTTTGATGCGAACGGTATTGGGTTCGAGTCCCAAAGTGAAGATCAACTCTGGGATGCAGACACATCCAACTGACGAGTTCAAACAGAACGAAACCTGCATTCTAGATTCTATTAACAACCACCATTCATCATTGTTTATAATACTTGTGACTGAAGGCCATATCGTGGCAATTCGTAATAGAATACACATATGCCAATAATAAGAGATTGACTGATAACTAAAATACAATGATAAAACTATTCTGTTTTAATATCAGAAAGGGTTTTGTGGATATTATAGCAATTTTAATAGTTGAGATCATGAGTCACTTGAAGCTAGACCACCATGGAAAACCTGGAAGCACTGGACGGTCGTTTCGTCCTATTGTTGGACTCCTCATTAGTGCCCATCCACGATCCCGCTCACTGGATTCGAACCCAGGACCTATCATTACCATGCAAAACCTGGAAAAACTTAACGAGCGTGTCGTAATAGTACGTGACTCGTTAATAGTGCGTATATATGATCCCGTACCAAAGGGACTTGAACTCACCAACTTCAGTCTCACGTGGGAACACTGAACTATTGAGCCGGCCGGGATCCAACGATGTTAATGTCTAACTTCAGCTGATCCCTGAATTGAGCCATTATCCACCATTGTCTTCAGTGAGTTATTATGTCACAACAGACATGGCTGAATCCCATCGGTCACTAGTTATCATTAGAACTTTGAGAAATATCTCTTGAAGCTAATCAGTAGTGAGCATATTCTGATAACTATCAGAAATGGGTTTTCGTGGATACTATAGTAATTTAATAGTTGAGATTATGAATCAATTTTACTCAAATAATTAACTTGAAATTGTACTCACGATCAAATACACATAAGACTGAGTTAATATTTCCCTATGAAATAGATTAAACTGAGTTGGGATTTAATAAACCCTTAGATTTTCCAACTTGAGTCAGTTCTGAATATAGAATAACTATGGTTTAATCAACATGGAGTCTTGTATAAACGTGCGTCGGTCCAGTCTACTGTACAAGATCAACACGAGATCATACTACTAAGATTGCTTGGTCAGAACTGACAGGACTAGACAGTCATTATTAACCGTCCCTATATAACTCAATCTCATAAGTAGTCAATCGCTATCTGAATACCGTAGCAGTAATATGTCACAATGTGATACCGGCTGACGCGAGTTCGTATTCCACAGGGAGTATCGCTTTCATTGAACTTTTCATTATGCTTTTTTGAAAAGCTTCAAGTATAACACAACTTCTGTCAAGAAGGGTTTCCTATTTAAGACTTTCAATCACCGGGTTTAGATTCTCTCAATCTTTATGTGTTGATTAATTTGATCTAATATATATGTGATTCCATAAAAAGAACGTTCTTCATAATATATATGTCCGTAGTAATGGATAACACGGTTTGACATTAGTTCCGTTAAGCTTACATAGTACTACTAACTAGTATAAAGCCATAAATCAAAAGTATTCCTGCAGAATGTATCTATTTTTGAGCAGTTGGGGGGGGTACATTTGTTGAGATTAACCGACCAAATGTCTGTTATAATAATCTTTTCTTATCAAATCTTTCTTTGTTCTTTGCCAAGGCTCATCTATGATTTCTTACTCTTATTTGTAATTGTTTTTTAAATAGCTATTCGCGCAACATATTCGTCGTAATGTTCTACGTGTTTTCAGTGATGCATCAAATTCTGTTATAAGTCAACAATTAGGAGATTTATGGCGTACTGTTCCAAGAAGTTGCCGTAATCAATACGATGATGAAGCGAATAGATTAGTGAAAATTCATCAAATTGAATTTCCCAATTATAAATATCAACCTAAAAAACGACAAATCACATCATCGTCATCATCATCCTCAACAACAACAACAACCGCCACCACAACCACTGCGAATACATCAAGGAGTAATAATGATCAAATGCGTATAGTTAATCCAAATCAGTTCCACAATACCACACACACTCTTACTCAACCATCTATATCAATGAATAATATACGAGAGGATCAATTGATAACGTCAAGCAAATTATTATCAACCAATTTACTTAAAACTAGTACAGACTACAATGTTGTTTATTCTTCTTCATTGGCGTCGTCTTCTTCTTCTTCCTCTTCTTCAACTGTGACAAATAAACTACCAACTTTGTCTAATCGTAATTATTCCATACCCGGTATATCATCTATGAATAGTTCTGTTGCTAAGGGTCAAACTAACAATGGTAATCATGAAGTTATGAATAATTTTATTACAAGTCCATCAAAATTAGTGTGTAATACAGTTTATGCTAAATTAGAACCGAAACCATTGAGTGTGAGTATTATTAATACTACTAATAATAGTAGTATACCTATGAATAACAATAATAATACTACTAACAGTAGTCAAACATTATCATTCAAACCAACTATACATAGTTTATCATCAGTGTTACCACCTCTTTTAACGTTGTCATCAAATCATCATCATCATGCACATCATCATCATCATCAAACAAATCGATTAATGAATGAACAATTTTCACTTGGTATATGTGATTCAGCCTATGCATCTGGAATTAATAGTTCATCATCATCATCTGCATCATCTCCAGCTGTAGGTGAATTAATTTCACCAGCAAAATCATGTTCATCAACCTTTTCATCACTCTCATCATCAGCATCATCATTGTCCAATGTGAATATAAAACAAACGAAACATTCACCAATACGACGTAAAATTCATTTTATACCAATTAGACCACAATCACAACAATTACCACCTGTAGGTAATCAACCAACACGTCAACGTTTTCTTTCTGCAAATAATGGTATTACTACTACTAATACTACTACTAATAATAGTAATATATCAACAATTGGAAATGGTTATATTCAAATGAATGGTTTTCAATTTAAATCAAATTCTGAAAATGTTGTCATACTTCCAAGAAAATTGAATGATTTACATGTTGAACAAAAAGAAGGTCAATTAACTGAAGAATTCATGAATGATACTCTTATACTTCAAGATAACAATGATAATAATGGAATGGTAACAACTGATATTTTAACACCAGTTTATATTCAATTAGATCATGAAGGACAAAATCCACCTACAGAAGGTTTAATGTTAACTTTACCACCTGGTACAACATTCATTCAAGCTAATCATGATTCTATAAATCGTAGTATTCCATTGAATAATAATAATAATACGATATCAAAACGATTTTATATTACGAATGGTAATCGTATGATACCAGCTATATCAAAATCGGTACAAATTTTACAACCATTAAAAGTAATGAATGTTATACATCATCATCATCATGTTCATCCAAATCATTCATCATCTTCAACAACAACAACAACAACAGCAACAACAACACCATCATCATCATCATTATTATCATATCCAGAACCTATTTTTTATAGTCCATTAATGAGTAGTTCAGAATTATTATCATCATCATCGTATAGTTGTAATTCATCACCGAATTCAATTGTATCACCATTATCTGGTGATGTATTTCTACCAATGCAACAAGTTGAAATGATGTCAAATTCATCACATTTCAATACATATGATCAACAAGCATCATGTATGGATATTTATCAATTTGATGGGCAAAATCAATTAGATATGTGTATAGAAGAAGAAGAAGAAGAAAGGGTACACGAAGAAGGAGAACAAATCCTTATTGATGAAAGCAATATAACACATCATTCAAAGAATTTAGATACAATAACCAATATCATTAGTATAGATGAATGTATGGATGCTGTGAATAATGATACATTTATAAGTAATACAAATTCTTCAGGTATTCTACATAATTGGTCATCAAATTTACCATTTAGTGAATCAATGTTAATGTCAACTTCAACATCAACATCATCATCATCAAGTTCATTATTATCATCAATTGGATCATCGTCGTCGTCATCGTCGTTACCATTAACAACAACAAAAACAATGATCACTGTGAATAATAATGATTATGATGATAATGAACATGGTGAGCATATAGGTGCCTCAAATCGACATCTACCATTAACTATTGATGTTATGAAATCAACAAATGAAAATTTAATCACCTTATCATCTACATCTTCATCAACGATCACTACCTTAAATCCTCCGCCTAGTCATCATCATCAACATCACCAACATCATCTTCATCATAATATCAGTATATCTATTGATAATGATTTAAATGATACTGATTTCTCTATTACAAATGATAATGATAATTTTGATTCAACTTTTGATGCAATGATGAATTCGATTGATATTACAACTTTTCTACCTGGTACATTTCAAACAAATGAAGAACAAGATCAATCAATACATAATGATTATGATCATGTACAATTAAATTCATATCATCATGAAATTTATCATAATGATCAACATGAATTCATGAAAATGGATGAATTTGATGAATCATGTCATATAATCAATGATGTCATAGCAACAACAATAACAACAACAACAGTAGCAACAATAACATCATCATCATCGGGAGCAGCAACAGCAACAGCAGCAGCATCATCATCGTTTATGAATAAACCGACTAATTCACAACTATACAATGTTATTAGATCTGATATTGATTTTATTCATCATAATCATTTAGGGAATGAAAATCGTGCAGTACGTATTATATCACCATTACAAAAAATTGGTAAACAATCATCACTGACATATTCACATCCAATATCATCATCATCATCATTACAAGGAACACAATGTTCCACCTCTCTCTCATCATCCTCATCATCCTCATCGTCGTCAACTTCATCGGTATTAAGAATGAATTCATTACATGAATTATTAAATAATTCACCACAAGTATGTTCATCTACATTGGCAGATCTGGATTCATTAGATAAATCTAGTTTATTTATTATTAAACCAGAATGGTCTGTATTAGCTTGAACCAACAATAATAATAATCATGGAATTATTGAACTATTGACTTATGCAACTTGTACATTCAATTGAATTATACATAAATCTATCAACAAGCCTATACAATGTATTCTTTCCCTTCTTCTTCTTGTTCTTCTTTTTCTTCTCTATTTGTTTCTCTGGGCATATCCTAGTTGTATAACTCAGGTGGTTTATCTCAGTTACATTTTATTTGTCCATGTATTTTTTTTTGTTTTTTTGGTACTGTTTCAATTTATTATTTTTTAATCCATTTCAACATTTTACTTTTTTGTTTGTTTGCTTGTTTGTTTTTTTTGTTTTTTTTCTACTTTTTGGTTTTTTTGTTTTAATTTTCCAAACAAATCGTTTTATTTACATAAAATTTTGTTGTTGTTGTTGAAAGAACAAAAACAGGTAATATACGATTTTTATATTTCCCCACACCACTTCACAGCACCCCACCCTCTCGCCCAATACCCCTCTCCATCAATTTAATATCTTCATATTCTTATTGTTGACATGTTACATTTGATTAAAGCATTTAAACAAATCAATAAATCAATAAACAAAAAAGTCATAAATCTTATTGATTATTGAACATGTTATCCATGGATAAAATGGAATAATCATAATGATAATAATAATAATATGTGCATTAAATTATTTTGTACATATGATAATTCAATGATTCAATTTTGTTGCCATGCTCCTTTTTTATCTTTTCAGGTTGTGCAGTATACACACACAATCAATATTTTCTCCTTGTGCTTTCTTTATTCAATAATAAAGTCACTTTTTTTGTGTTTTTTTAAAAAGTAAAATGGAACTTACATCATCAATATAAGTAGTATGGCTAGTAGTTATAGTAGTATAAATGCTACTTTAAATGTTGGATACATATTTGATGATCATTTCAATCATAATGTGTTGGGTACTAAAGTTTTCTTAACCGTTTTTTTTGTTGTTGTTGCATTATAACTTTTGATAAGATTGAGATTTGGTGAATACATCTATACATAAATCTATTGATCAATTGAACATCTCAGGACAGTTCATTTTTATTTTATGCTTTACTACGTATATACACGTATAGTAGACAGTTTTTCATTCACACACACACTCTCCCTCTTTGGTTAGTTACTATTTCAGCCTTTTATTTATATAATCCTACCATGTAGTATTATTGATAACCATAGTAATCATCAACAGGATTGTTTCAGTTTATTAAGTTGTACAGTATTCATCGGATTCTTGTTTTTCTTTTTTTTTAAAACTTTATTTTCTATACAAATGAACAATTATTCTTATTATAATATGAATAAAATATTTGTTGACTAGTCAGGTAATTCATTGAAATCAAGGATCTTGTTTTCTTTCTTTTTTCTATTTCTATTTCGGCGGGGAACAAAATTGATCTTTTTTCATTCACTGTCTCAGGTGACTTCATTATTATTATGATTATTACGTAATACTTAGTTACTTATTCGTGTGTTTAATGTAACTTCTTTTAACGAATCTAATTATTTTTGAAAGCATTTTAACAAATAATTTTGTTCTATTTTACTTTTTATTTTTAAAAAAAGTATGTGGGGGGAGTGTATTCTCAGTTTGATTGTTTAAATATTTGTTGCTATGGTTATTTTCTCCGTGGGTGTTTGTGTGTGCGGTTCCGCATTCTTTTTTAAAAATATTTCATTCATTTATTGGCATATAGAAATTGATCGATCAATCAATCAATCAATTCTCCCCTCCTCCTCCCCCTTCATTCAACGATACACTTATGTATTAGAATGAACTAATAATAATAATAATAATAATAATAATAATAATAATAATAAAGGACATTTCCTATTCAGGGTTATTATTACAATTATATATTCGATAATAATCTTTTTTTCAAATTGTTGTTGTTGATTTCTTTATTGGCTTTCTCTGTTTGTTTGTTTATTATTAGTGATGTTAATGAATGATTATGATGAGTATAGTTTTATTACTGCTGAAGTTGAACAATCATAAGGATGTTCATTATATACTACTTATATACTACTTATCTCTACATCATTTGTTATATACATTTATATACATATGCATATATATATGATAACCAGCATTGTAATATTTTATGAATTGCCTTTTCTTTTTCTAAACAAAATGAAAAAAAAACTTTTCAATTGAATTATTTAGTCTACTTTATTCTTTTGTTACAGTTGACATTAAATTTGAAATCCTTACTTACGTCTGTTACTTCTCGTGAAGGAGCATAAGCCGCTCACCAGCATTCTCCATCCAACCCTATCCTGGGCAATCTTTTCCAGCTTCTTCCAGTTCCTATTCATTAGTAGCTGAGTGAATAACGCGATGACGTTTGAAGCGAATGGTATTAGGTTCGAGTCCCAGAGTGAACATCAACAAATCTGAGATGCAGGTATGCCCAGCTGACGAGTAGTCCCAAATAGAAAAGTTCGCGCGTCAAACTGGATTCCACTGCTAACCACTATCCATTAAGTTTGAAGTATACTATGATTTTATTATTTAGTTATTTAAACACAAGGTGGCATCAAGTAAATCATTTGATTTGTGTGCGTCGGTTGTGATACTGACCGGGTGGTCAAACCGGAGCAGGTAGTTTTCTTTGAAGGGCCACATTCGGAGCCTTTAACCTAAAGATCTAATCCATAAAGCAATGGAGCAATGTCAAGGAATGCAGTCCTATAGTAGCAGGTGGTAAAATGACTGGTTCATATGCCATATGTTCATTTAGGATCCTGGAGCCCATACGAAGCATTGGTTTGGAATCAGGATTTTCCAATTTCCCTAGGTTAACTCTCCGAGTCAACACACCCGTTTAAAGCGCTGAACATTCCATTTTCGTCTTCTCAGTTTCGTAAACAACGGTAATGTCGCGAGAAGGCAGTGAGTAGGACTTCCTTGGTAGTGGTTGTATGCAGGTGGCTATGTAAAAGCATTTCAAAAGGGAAGTATACTATAATATTAAACATGAAACTGTAAAGAATACAACTGAATTAGTGAGAGTGATTTCAGGATATGTTACCTAATTCACTATTTCTACATTTGTCATAGTTCGTGATATGATGTGGACTATAGTTTTCTGAGTGAGTAGAACAATCTTTATGAAAGAAATAACAATGATCTATAAGAAGTAGTGAATTTGTGATTATTTTTTTCAGTTTTGACTTTGGAATTATGTCAGTGAACTCTGACTTTGTGGTTTGAAGGAATGACTGATCATCACGAAGGTTAAAGACTCTGGGTTCAACTGTCTAGGAGGTTGTAGGTAATTACTGTTCAGTAGTATCCATTCTCTTTATTGGTCCTTCAATTATTACTAATCTGTAACAGATATAATATATAAATAAGCTGATATATGTTAATTACTAGTGCATAATTATACATTAATTATGAATCGAATGTATATAGTTTAATGGATGACATTGAAACCTTTCTAACTGAATTATCATACTGACAGTTTGGAGACTTAATTTAAGTACATTAAATACAATCTACGACTATCTTATTAAAGCTAAAGAAAAGTAACACTTCACAATTGATTAATGACTAAGTGGTGATCAATGTCATGTGTGTCAAGTCCTTAGTATTAGTGCAGATCGAATGCTATAGAACAAGTTGCAATGTGGCCACCAGTCTAGGTGACTCAACATTGCGGGCACAATATGTTGAGATTAGATGGTGGTTGGAGGTAGTTGACAGAAATCCCTGGACCCGCGTTTCGTGCTACTTGGCACTCGTCAGCAAGGTGTGCCTGTAATCTTGAGGGAAATGGTGCTCCCCGGTGGATTCGATCCCGTGTCACTCAGCTTCACAGTTAGAGCACCAGTTCTCTCAAGATTACAGGTACACCTTGCTGACGAGTGCCAAGTAGCACGAAACCCGTGTCCAGGGTTTCCTGTCGACTACCTCCAACCACCATCTAAAAGTAATACTTGTTAAGACTTCCGGAAATTTAAGCAATATTAAACCGTTTAACTTATTAGTTGAGTTTATGAAAATAAGTTTACCAATCCATCTTTAATTCCTCAATATAATATAGATACTAGCTAATGACTCTTTGTCAATGTACAACTGATGGTACAGAGTGTGTTATATCTTGTGGCCATGTGCTCTATTAATAAATAACGTAATGATATCACCAATTAGAGAATAGTGACTTATCGACCGGACCAATGACGCGTAAACCTGTATGAGCAGTCTAGAGTCTTTATCGGTCCTTGCTTCCTGTCAAGCCCTGCCTGTTAAGTCCAGAAAACTAATCTCAGACCCCGCATTATGTATTTTAAAAACCAACTAGACCATATCGTACTACAAAATAGAAAACAACATTTGTACAAGATCTAACCAAGAAGTGACTGTGAATGTAATTAATAGACTGCGTATAACTTAAGACCGTCTTATGCTCCATTGAGAGTAACAGGCGTAAGAAAGTAAGTACGTATAACTTCAGAACGGTAAATCGTATAATAAAAGTCTATAGGGCAAAATAAAGCTTGTAATAAGAGGAATATAAATATATATAATCTAGTTGCTGAATAGCCATACCATGAAAAAGATGTGCATCGTATTATTTCAGAATTGGATCTCAACAGCTACCATTCATAGTTCTCGTCTGGATATCAAAGAATGCTTCTATGTTTTCTTTCAATGACTTATTTTTGTGTTAGATAATAAGCGAAAAACTAAGATTTGTAATTGTTTTAACTCAAACTTATAATAACCCGACCGTTGTTGCTACGTTGACGTGGTGGTCGAGTTTGCCTACCGTGATGAACCAATCGAGCTAAACTGGTTAGAATAATCGTTCCTCAAGGTCTTACCATGTCAGACAGGTTGGTTGAAGAACTGTAAAACTGAAAGCAGCAAACCCAAGGTTCGAAGGCGAAGTTGTATTTCTGACTATACAGAAGTGTGACGGCAGTAAGCTGTTTCCTTTAGACATCCAGCATCTGCAGCGATGCTACCTTCTCACAAAGAGAGGTGGGGTTAGAAAAGATCGGCCGTAAAAAATGCACACCTCGCCTCATCCCACGGGTATCCGTCTCCGATGGTAAGGTTTCAACAAGTACGGAGTTGACATGAAAATTACTCACGAAAAGGTCGTGTGTGACCGACCTCGAGCAGTTTTTTCCCTGGGCACTGCGATCACGCTCTCAGATCGCTAAGAC